CTCCTTCGTTACAGACGAAGCACGGATACTGTAGTATTGGCTGGCCATCTAAACGCCCAAGTCAAAAATTTTTCCTCTGCTGAGCTTCATCTAGGCAGACAACGTAGGGGAGGCTCCCATCTCTTTCTCATGGGCACAAATTTTCAACACTGCACCCACAGAAACTGGGCTGAAGTCCAAATGACTCGCCTTGTGCTTGGCTCGAGACTTTACAGGACATGGCTCGCAACCGACACCAGTGGCGCGTCTGCTGCCCTCTCCTAGTTAGATTGCCTGTTTAAATTATCTTTGGTTCTCAGTTATCTACGGGGTAATGGCTGATTATGACGCGGGGCAGTGAAATCCGCAAGGAAGCTGTCTCGCCGATGTCGCCTTATCTTTTGCACGATAGCCAGCTGTGATGTTATGTTGTCTACACAAGGTGTAGGCGCCTTGACCCTGAATGTTTATTTAGTGCATTAAGGTTTTCCGGCAATCCTCCTTCTCTCCCTCTTATTATTCTTTATTCCATGGGTCATCATACTTGTATGGCAGCGAAGCATCCGTTCAAACATCTAACGTACTGCAGCTGTTGATGATGATGATGACCCGCAGAAGCGTGACTTGGCGCCCACCAGCTTCGTACCAGCCATGGAAGTAAATTGATCATATCGCGATCCGTTGCCGCTGGAAAGGCTGTGTCCAAAACTGTCGCTCGATTTGGTACACGAGCGTAGACTCTGACCAAACAGTTGTTTGCGCAGACCTCCGGGTGCCTTTCTGTAACGTCCGCAACGTCGAGGTGAACGGATTGACACCAGCCAGTTGGCGAAGTCACGTGTTCTGAATGTGTATCAAAGTGCGCTGACATCCGGGCCGAGTAAGCGCCCACTGAACATCGTTGAAGATCACTGTTCGCATATTCGTCAACGGTTACTATCATCAGGCATGTTTTCATGTGGTGAATCAATTTGCCAACCTGGACATTGGGTCTCTACACAGTCTCTGAAACTTATGGATGTTCGCCGACGTCTTCCGATTGGAAGCGAATAAAATGAGGCTGGCAAAACCTCAGGGCAAAAATGCTTGCTAGCCTGATGAAAGACCGCGAAGCTTAGTGGTCTCATCTTGCCTCGCAGATGGCAACAGCCGCTACCGTTGGTAATCGTCATAAGTTATTCCGTCTAATCCGGGAAACAGGCAGCAGGAGACCTGGTGTTAGCGGAACCATACTCGACGCGAGTGGGCAGCCGATTCACTGCCTGTCCAAACGCTTGGAGCGGTAGATCGAACAGTTTGCAAGGCAATTTAACCAACCGGACTTATCGTTTTCTTTTTCGGGGATTGAGCGCTTTTCTCCCTAGACCATCTCTTTGGATCCGCCCTCACGCGCAGAAATCGAACTTAAGATCAGGCTTCTGAAATTGCATAAGACCGCAGGGGCAGATAGAATTCCCCCAGCCCTCCTCAACTTTGAGGGACTTGCTCTAGTAGATGATTTACACGAGTTGCTATTGAAACTTGGGAAACAGGAGACTGGAGCCGCTCTGCCATTGTCCCAATTTTCAAGGGAGCTTCTGTTCGGAATGCGGTAATCATAGAGGGAGCAGTCTGATCTCAATTGCCTCTAAATGACTTGCGCCTGGTATTCTCCACAGACTGACTGACACTCGTGTGAGCCAGATTCGTGAAGTGCAAGCCGGGTTTCGTCAAGGTCGGGGCTGCATCGACCATATGTTCACCTTGCATTAATTGTTGTAGCACCGCCAGGCTTATTGGCGACCCGTCCTTGCCGAGTTTCCTAACATAAAACTTGCCTTCGACTCAGTTGATCAATGTGCCCTTTGGGACTGTCTGCTGAGGAAAGGTGGGCGTGGCAAATAACTAAACATTATCAAAGCGCTGTACGCGCATGGTTTGGGCAGAGTGAAGGTTAATGGCAACTGTCACCACCCTACAGTATCACCAGCGGTGTGAGACAAGGTTGCCCGCTGTCACCTTTCCTATTTAACTTCGCTATTGATGAAGTAATGGTACAACATTCGTTGTACACGACCAAGAAGGTGTGGAGTTGCTTCCTGGTGAGCGACTTCTTGACTTGGATTGTGCGGGGGATATTACCCTAATTTGTGACAGCTCCCAGACGTGCCAAGCAGCACTGGACCGATTGGCACTGGCTGTCTACCCTTTTGGACTATGTTTTGCTCCATCGAAATGCAAAACACTTCTACAAAATTGGCAGGGACCCACCCCTGCGCTAACGCTTTGTGCTGATCAGGTTGAAGTCGTTCAGTAATACAAGTACCTGGAAAGTCATATTAACGCCCGTGGGATTGAAGATGAGGTTACGAACCGTATAGAAACAGCTTGAGTTGCTTTTGCCATTCTTCGCCGCCTGTGGCGCAGACGGGACATTACTCTCGCCCTGGAGGGCAGAGTTTGTAACGCAGCGGTCTGTTAAACCCTCCTACGTGGTTGTGAAACCTGTCCCATCAGGTCGACAGACATAGGGAGGCTCGTCACATTCGATCATCTCTGCCTTCGCAGCTTAGCTCATGTCTGGTGGGGGCACCACGTGAGCAACGAGCGTGGTCGACGTCGCGTATTTTGTGCAGGAAGAGCGAGTGAACCCCTCAGCACCGTTATATTAAGTACCAAGCTCAGATGGCTGGGCCACGTGTTGCGCATGCCAGCATACCGACTACGGCGACATACATTGTTTGCGTGCCGGGGGTGCGGTTGGAAGAGGAGGAGGGGAGGCCAGGCGACAACTTGGTCGAGAGGAATGAAAACCATCAGTTCGAAACTGGCGTCGGTTGGTGCATCTCGACTGCCTGGCTGGGGTCCTATGGACGCTGAACATGTTTGGTTGTACATACTTGCTGATATGGCGAAGAGCCGGCTCCAGTGATCTTTGTGTTGTGAGTTTATTTATCCAGCCCCCCTCTAATCCCGATCTCATGCAAAACGCATACTGTAATAGCTAACACCCTAATTTTTGTAGTGAAATTTTTTAGTCTCTTATCTTTATGTATTGCGGCACATTAGCTGAGGTGTGTTTCTCACCCTCAGCTAACTTGTACTGATGAAGACGAGGATGATGATGACGATGCTGATGATAATCTCTTTTAATGTGCAAGCGTGAAATAGGGTGCGCTTCACAGTTCAGTAAATATGTCATTTAAGACCGTTGGACTTTCGTGCTATGATTATCTTTTGGTGCATTTCAGCGGTTGTTCTATTGTTACTTGCATGATATACCTGCGGCGGTGTACTTATACAATTGCTGCGTACAGACTCGCGTTGTGATTGTCGCTGAATAGTTGCTGAATCTGTCCGCATTATGCCCACAGCCAATCCATATACGTACCACCCTCTTTAGTTGCGCGCAGAGTAGTAAATATAAATAACTGATAATCCCTGATCCATTTCACATTTGGTGTGATACCGGCTTACACGCATGACTACGGGCAGATCCAGATTTTGTAACTGCCGTCGACGTAGTGTACCAACAGCCCATTCGCAATCGTAACGCTGACTAGGAGTACAGTCAGGCTCCCCGTTTGAGATTATCTAGCCCATAAGCGCTGGCCTATCTAATATGAGTCGTTGTGAGGATATTTGTGAAACCCAATCCACCATGACTTACTGGGTCAGGAAGGCACACAAACCATCGGAGAACCTTATTGTGAGATCAGATTTGACATAGGGGATTCGAATGAGGGCTAATTGGTTGGAATATGATTGTTTTCCTACCCACGTACCGTTATGCCAGAGGAACGGACACCAATGTGAGCTTTAATCGACTGAATCAAGACGTTAGGATAAGCCCAGTAAAACGTTCTGTTGCGCCGGATATCGTTCGCTTTCTTATCTTATTTATAATTTGATTCCGAGACTAAACGGTAACTTACACTGCGCCTCGAAATAGTTCAAGGTGGCATGAAAATGTGGTAATCGATCTGCCTCTTGCAGGAAGCAGTTTTGAATACTAAGTCAACATGGTTCACTCTGGTCATCCGTGACCCACGTGTGCCTTCGCCTCAAACGGACATCTTGTTTGCTCGCTTAAGCCTTCTTAATGAGTGTGTTTTCACTCCATTGACAACGGATTCGATATCTCCAAGGGGTGTGACCCGGTGTTCCGAACATTTTCACTGCCGCGTGTGCGTTCCTCTTGACTCTGGCACTGTGCTGTCTTCGTCTTGCTTCTACCTCCCAGGCTTTGGGGTTGGACCAGTTCGCGAACCAGCAGCTGCTTCCACCACCCTTATTGTGCAATGTTGCCGTGCGCAGACACTGCGCAGGTAGGCGGGCGGATAGCCAAGATCCGTGAAGCAATGCCTCAACCACCGCCCATCTGAGTATGACGGCGCAAATGTCTTTTACTTTGCGTGGGCCTAGCTTAAGTGTTTTTGCAACCCCCTCCCCCCTTTCCCAAAGCCCGATTGCTCTGCTCTAGGTGGGTCTAGATTAAACAGCCATAAAGCAAAATTGTCGGAATGCTATTGGCTGATAGCGATGGACTGCTCGATGCGGTACCGGATGCAATTGCGGTGATTATAGGATTATATTTTATGCACTCCGGAGAAAAACCGCTACCTTATGGATGAATGCGATCACATTAGTTAGGTATTCTACTGTATTGTGTTTGTAGAAACGGTGTATAACACAGCCGAGCGGGATTGCGCATTACTGCTGACCAGTTAACGATGTTCACACCACACTTAGATGCATGGGAAGACGGAAGGTGAGGTCTTTCGAATCTTCTACTTGGCGCATTACGCTTATCAATCTTACGCTTTCGTTGTTTCCTTCTGCCTTACTTTCATGTCGTAAAGCCACTAAATTCTGCAGCCGGTGAGCTACAGATGGAAGGTTGCTCATGGAATCTTTTCCATCACCAATTTTTTGATTATCCTCTATCCTGCCCAACGCGGTTGATCACGATAACGAAAAATGGTGCTTAGGTTATGAGACAGTAGACATAGATACTCAGTGACAAACTTTCCCTGCGGAATTCACTGAAGCAAGTTCTTCTGTAATGCAAGGCATGAAACAATGACACCGCACTCACCTGTACTACGGATTGAACGATCTCCAGCAACGCCTTAGCGGCGAACAGCTTAGCAGCGGTCTGACCCGTTGGGACCGCTTCTACTGCCGGAACCAAGAGAAATAAATCGTAGAATATCATACCAGTCAGTCCAATCAACAGCAGATTGTCATCGAACGCACCCTCCTCTGATAGCGCACTCAGCCTGAGTACTCGCAGACGGAATGTAGTCACAATGCATGTGATAGTGCTCAGGGCTAACAGAAGCAGTTCGGTGGATTGATACAAAGTGATCGCGGTGGTTCGTTTCTCCCGTCTGACGTAGAAGATGAAAAACAAACACATGGTAACTAAGGTGGCCATAAATAGAAGAAGACCGATGAACAGCCCCTTGTGTGATCGATGACACTCAGAAAATCGACCAGCCAAAGTGTTTGCCAGCCGTACACTTTCCCTTCGCTCGGATTCCTTTTGCACATGTCCAATCTTCTGAAACATTTTGTAAAATATCGCGCCTGCGATTAGACTGTATTCGATCGCACACGGAAAAAGGAACGGAGCCAGATGTTGAGCTGTAGATCGGCACCCTGAGTGAAATGAACAGAGAACAATGCTAGCAAATGATGACAAGGAACCAGGCCTTTTTCCTTGCAACTCCGCTTTTATCCTATATACCTACTTTAGTCACCAAGTTTTTACATTTACTTGATTTAACTTGCTCGTTATGTTAGCGTACCTAAGCGTCGACATCGAGCTTTTGTCTACGGGCAAGGTGGCATTTCACCCTTTGTAATCTCTATAAAGTTAAACCTATGAAGTACCCAGAACAATTATTAACATTAATCGTAATTCCGTTAACGTGTGGATATTACTAAAAGTTGCCTACACAACTGGTAAGTATCACGCTAAACTTGCTTTTGTTTTTCTCTTCTCTCTGGTAATCAACGGATCACACCTACGGGCACAGAATATCTAAACGTGTCATTTCTCCATGACTGAATATGACTTACGCACAAATGACCAGGAGTGGGTGGATGAGATGGCATTATTCCCACATATGCTGGACACGCTAAAGTTTCCGTGTGCGTTTGACTGCAAGGGACGATGCATTAGACTGGCATTCGAACTTTGCGAAAGTAACAGCTTGATTGCATCACATAGCTCGGTCACCGCGTCCTCGACAGTGTGATTCATGGTCAGTTCCGTCTCATAACGTCGCTCCACGCTGATCTCGTCCACAACGGTCTTCAGCCACTGGCATAAATTAGCTACCGCCAGATGACAGAGTAGAAAACGTAGGACAAATTTCCGTACATTAAAGACAACCTGCAATTTTAGAACGAAAAACGAGCTCTCAAATGGAGCGCCGGAGATTGGCAAATAAAATCTGATTAGTATATGGACGGGAGTAACAGATTAATAGACATTCGTCATTTTTGCATTTCGGTCTTTAGTATGGTGGTATGTGGAAAAACTGCATGTTCACTACCCTGAAGTTTTAGTATTGCAATAATTTTGACCGGACGATCGGAACGCACAGATCCATTTAAAACACTAGGACTTTGGGGTCGAAAAGTTAAATGCGGATGAAACTTGGCTTTCTCCTGCTTCGATGTCTTACTGATCATTCGCTTAGTATTATCTGACGTTCTATTCGTTTTTGGCCGCACCGAAATGTGTTGGTGGTACCGTTAGCCAGTGACAGCAGGTATGGGGCTGGCTGGTCAGAAGATGGGGATGCTCGTCCTTACCAACAGATTGGCTCTTTTTCCACCGGGTAAAAGTGACTTGGGTTTCAGGCATACTGCACTGCGTGGGTGCCTTCAAACAAAGGCGCCTGAAGCGGTTACATCACTTAAGGCTGCTTTATCCGGTCCCATCCAATTTAGTGCGTAGTGCGGTTTATACACAGATTCCAGTCATTGTACAAAAGGTGGACTTATTAACCTCCGTTTGATCGGATCACAACGCTGATATCATGAATTTTGAACAGAGCGGCAATGTACGCTTCCTGAGGCAGCGGTAGAGCTAGGTTACTGTCATGTAGTGCTCACTTACTTGATGGTGCTTGAAAAGGAAATATGTTTGCCAAAACACGTAGACAAAGTGCAGGAAGTGTATTGGAACCCATAGTTGGCCGTAGCAGGAAGAGGCGTCTTTCATTGCGACTTCCCAAGGTTCAGCCATTTTGAAACCATCAAAGATCATCACACCGAATCCGAAACCTGATTGGTTAGAACAGATCGACTGAATAAAGGAAGTATTCTAGATACCTACGATGACATGTGAAACTTGAAATGACATATATTACGGGATTTGCGACATTCGTCGCTTCACAGTAGGATTCCGTGCTTACCAGCATTCAACCTTAGCAATATCATGTGTTGTTTCTAGTAGCTGTGATGGTTTAAGTCGCTCTACTCCGTTGTTGTGGTGTGAGATCCTGGCTGATGAATGACACGCTGCTCTGGTCCTGCCATAGACTCATTTTCTGGACGTCTCACAGCGACCGCTGGGTGGGAGTGGACCTATGCTTTTCTTTACCTAAAGGCTCAGACATCCGCATGAGTCGATTGTTTCATAGCGCATCTCCCAAAGAGTTACGGGAGTACTTTTTATCGAGGGTTCTGTTTGAGAATCAGAGTCGTTTGCCTGTTCAGACACTAGCGCTACACCAGTCTAACCAAAAACCATGAACCGAACAGCTACTGATAATCTCATACTTCATCAGCCCTCGGGTATTGGCTTATTTGCCCAGATATGACCGTAGGTCTTTGTACTGCAGCCTTCATTTCACCGATGATAATTTCGTTATTTATAGTCAAATAGAAGAGGCGTTTAGTGGCATGAAGGAACAGAGGAGCTAAAAGTTCTGTTAAATTTCGTAACCGAATAGTACACGGCTATCTGGGCTCGTGTCATGAAAGTTTGAGTTTCGGAGAACGAATTTGAACGGAGAGCATTTTAAATCGGTTGTCAAAGAAATTCTACCATTTAGTTGTTTACCCTTCCTGAATTCAGCTATCAGTGATGATAAAAAGAGAGCTGTTCATGCTGGGATGGCGCATGACACAAGTTGCGGTTGCTGAGGTGTTCGGCTACTGTCGCTGAGCTGCCTGTTTTACGCTATGAGCGTTGAAGCATACACTACGGATGGTGGAACGGTATGGTTTAACAGCCACCATATTCACAGCAAAAATTTGCATCGTTAGTCAAGGTGTTGCTATAGCTTCGTCATCTTCAGCCGGCGACGTATAGGATTAATATTATGGCTAAGTTTCAATCGGCGGTTCAGGGTCTATTGTTCTAATGCCAGACCACAAGGTAACCATTACCACTCTCTACTGAAGAAACGTGAGTTTGATGGCTCTGATTTCGCACACTATGATTGAGCACATTAAGTAAGTTCAAGGACCTTATTATTGTCACTTTATCAAGACTTCCATATTTAGATGCCCGTTTTATTGTGTACCATACAAGTTTCCCAGCAATTGGGACAAAATCATATGCCCAATCATGTAGACTTAAATCTCAGAAACTCAGCGCTAATGATCGTTTCCACATAACTCCTGTACCTACCACACCATTCGCTATCCGAGGTGGGAGTAAACAACGCAGACTCGAGTGAGAACGGGGAATCAGAAAGCGCAGATGCCAGTTGCGAAGGTGGTTTTCAATCTTCTATGTGCTGTCGGTGATGAGTCTCGCAGTACCTTAGATGACTTTGCAAATCGCTCCGAGTACGAGTTCGGTGATTAAACTGTTGTACTGGGATTTTCTACTGGTCTACTGTACATGTAATCAGGAGGGCGATTTGATGAGGTTTGCACCATACCCTACTGGCTTTGTGCATTCTTGCTAAATTGCTATCACACAGCATCCAACTTTATAAACGAATTGAATGACATGTTTTGCACAACTTGTGCGCATTCTTGGCACCGTATCCACCCAGTTGTTTAATCGAAGCGTAACTTTTCTTACCCAAGCCTGTATCCTTTGGAGCTGTGCAGTTAATTTTCCTACCAATAATTTCGACTTTCTCGCTCATAAGAAGAGCGAAGCTCTGATATATCGGGAAAATCAACCAATGTAGCAACCTTCTTCCTGATGCCTGATGCCTTAGTTCAAGCCAGGAGATAATTGTGAAGCTACCTATCCTGCGTAATTCGCCATGAAAAAGGGTACCTGATATATACATGAATGCCAATTCATGCGTAGGGATTTATCATGTAATGAAATGAGTTCCTCGCACAAGGTTTCAAAACAGATAATTCTCCAGGTCTTCGGATAAGTACTAGACTACAGTTTGAACCTGTTTGGCATAATCAGTGATGCGCATCCATCGGATCAATCAAGATTCGAATACATAACCCCCAGCGGCTTACAATGCTACTGACTGGTGATGCAAAGCTCGGATGGTCATGGGTTCCAATCTTGATTGATCCGATGGATGCGCACTACTGATGATGCCCGTCAGGTCTAAACTGTAGTCTGGGGATTTTCAGAGCACGTAGAGGATCATCTGATTTGGAAACTGGTGTGATAAACTCTCAGTTAATGGATCCTAATTCGTCTGTCTACTATGCCGCTATCCGAAACTTTCATCATTCCCCTTGATGCTAACCGAAAATGCAAGCCGGTCGGTTGAGCAAATGCGCTTATTGGTTGGAACACAAACTCCCGCTCTTTCAGGTGCTCTAACAATTTTCCATTTTGCAACATGTCTTTTTATTAACATTTTGTGATTCCACCTGCAGCAACCGTCGAAGCTAACTCTAACCATCAGATCCGTGTCAAACGCGTGTCCAACCGTGCATGAGATGTCGGACATGTATTTGTGTTGGCTGCAGGTCAACTGTTTGGACAACATGGACAACTGAGACCAGAAAATGCGGCCCAACAGAACGCTACTCAGATCCCTGCAGTTACGGAGCTGTGATTCGCCGAATGTCGATCTACTCTGACTAAATCAGGAGCAGCGGACAGAAGAGGTCTATGTGGTGATGGTTGAATACAGAATAGCTAGAGAGATCAGTAAGCACTAATTGCAGCCACCGTACGATGCTGAGTGGCTCTACTCTCCGCCTGCCGTTACGGCTCGAACAACATTCTGAGCGTGCAATGAAGGCTAATTGCGTCAAAGTTACAGAGCAGAGTGGAGTGATGAGACAAAAAGGTACATAAATAAAGGAGTAAATTGTTGTGGTTATTAGCAGGTGGCATAGTTATCACTTGGGCAACCATCATTTCCGCGGTGTTGCGTGGCGCAAATATTGGTTAGCCAATCTTTTCAGTTTACGGGGAAGTTCGGATTCATCAATAGTTCATTAATGAAATTTGGAGTCAGAATAGATCAATAGCGCGCTTGGTTTGTAGAACATGTAATAAAGAACCGGGGGATATGTTGCCCTGTTGTATTGTTAGGTCTGGATTCCATGAGTACAATCGTAGATCGCTGAATGCTGACAATTATGACTACATTTGGCTGGAAAGAAACGTTTTTAGATACGATCTAAGCCCAAACAATATCTCGCTTGCCCTCCGGTGCAGCGGCACCTTTATCTATATATGCGTTTACCTCACTAGGAAATAAATGTAGGCGCATGTATTAGTTGTCAGGGACATTAAAAATGAGAAATCAGCAGTACGCCGGTGTAATGCACCTGCGCTTCGTTGCCACGTGACTACCGCTAGTCGCGTGTTAGCTGAGTATACCGTGAGGTCACTGGCACCTACACGAATAAGAACCAGTGACCTACGGATTACAAGGCAAGCCAGAATTCCTATCGGCTGCGGGCCGACAGCAGGTATTTCCCATCACGAATGGCATCCGTTAGGTTATTTGGTGAAACTACAGCCGTATTGACTGGGAAGACTCGCAAATATATTATTTTGTGGAAAAGACTGAGATCGCTCTTTAGTCGTCGAAATCAGAGGGGATGAAACATAACTACATCGTTCTTCTTGGGTAAGGGTTAATGAACGCCTCGGGATCATTTTGGTGAATGAGCGGTGGAGGTTTTTGCCAAGACCTTTCTATCTCTTTTGTGTCCTTGGCCATGTGTGATAGCGCAACACTTTAGGGTGGATCGCACTATGAGTAAGAACAATCCGAACCGTATTTCGGATAGTGAATATGACGTGGTGATGTAGCTTGTTAGTTGCATCGCTTTCGCTACCTTATGTAAGATCTGTTCGGAGAAGTTGAAGCGTCTAACGTATGGAGAACCGAAATCCTTATCGGACTACGCAGTTGGAATGGGGCACCAGTAAGATTGAGGGATCCTTCTGAGACGCAGCATATGGGGCAGAGTATATGAGAGTTGACTGCTAAAAAAGATCACGGACTTGTTTACACTCCATTTCTTCAGGGACAATAAATCTTTTTTATATTATTTACACAGATTAAGTGGTCAAACGGAACTAAAACATCTTGTGATGTCCACAGCAAAAAAATGGGCGCCCATGATTTATTGTGGCTCCATATGCAATTTAAGTAAATGAGCAAAGGTCATGGACCCAGTGCGAACCGCTGAAGGACGCCACTAGTTGATCTGTTTCTGTTGTCAATTGATGACACTATAGAACATACGAGGCGGGCCACTGCATATACACTAGGTCTCGAACCAGGATAACTCTTTTAAGGGGACATTCGAGTAGGTTTGTGATAGCGTCATTTCAAGAATGATTTTTGCTTGAGACTCCAAGGCAACAGAAAAGCAAGCGACAGGTCAATATTTGTTAAACCCTTTTATTGATACCGAGAATAGACTGGATATACACTTGGCAGAGACGGCGTATCTCTTCCTTTATACGAACAGTGAGAGACCTCACTGAGATGCCTTATTGTACTTTAAATGCCCTCTCCTTAAGTCCACACAGCCACTTCAGATGGGGGAAGAGAACCTGTCCGCGCGGACGTTGAGAGTTTTCCAAGGACAGCAGGTGTCAAAACAAAAGTTAGATAGTTAGTCCAGTTGTCACAATATTTGGATACGTCAGGGTCAAGGGAGAAACAAAATTACTTTCCTGAAACCATTTCACAAGGTCGATTGATATTTTGTGAGCAGCACTGTCTCCACTTGAACTTACCTACATGAGCTCAATAACAGCCCATTCAGAAGCTACGCTAATAAAATATCCTGACGACATCTTCTTGGGTAACAATTATCGAAACGCCGATTGCTCTCTGAGGTTACAATATCATCTGAATGACCTCACTAAT